GTAACAAACTTGTTACTTTGTGGGTGAATTGTATCTGAACAACAGGCAACTTCTGTAGCATTAAGGAAAAATTAAGCATACTCAGCCACAACAGGTGTTACAGCCTTAACAACAGTCCTGCCTCTCCATCACAGGGTTCAGGTTACATGTTAGTCACGTCGGAATTACCAACATGATCTACACTTTCATCTGCTCTGTTGTTAGTTGCTAAGTATGCAGACTTTGCATATTTTCTGGCTGTTGTTTCTCTCCACCAAAAATGGTAACTTTCAGTCAAGTGGAAATTCAAATAATCTGCAATCACAGTTTGTGATTTTACAGCATCTAAAAAAATAATAGATATTTTTCATTATTTCGTAAATTATAATTATAAAAAAGTAATAAATCTCGTATTAAAAAAGAGGACATTCTACACACTACATTTCATAATATTTTTGTCTCACTTTAAGGTTATGTCAACTGCAAAGAGAAGGAGATGGCATATTCCTGCCTCTGTCACAGCCAAAACAACATTCAACCCAATAAGATCTATTGTAGATAGAATGAAGATAACACCAAACCCTGAGAAACAGATGATTGCTTTGTCTATTGGTAAGTTCACATGACAATGCATGTAATTAATTCCGTTGAAAAACAGAGGCAGAGAGAAGTGCTGAGTTTCTTCTACCCTAGGCCACTTTTGTTCAGTTTGTCTTCTTGATTTTTTTTTCTGAATAAATCTCAGCTCTCATTATATTATATGTAAACTATGGTATTTAATTATTGTTGTAGCCTTATGCTCCACTCGCTGGAGCAAAGAGAATGAGTGAATGAGTTAGCGAGTGATTTAATACATTACAAGCAAACATTTAGTGAAATATTATTTTTAAACATATCACTTGACAGTGATATCATGACGATATGGAAACGTTGTGCATTTTCAATATGTTGTATTTAAAAATTTTAATATGTAACACTTTTGCCAAAAACAAGTTGGAATATGATTATTTTGGATTTCTAGCCAGATTGGTGAAATTCTGATGGCTTGATCTTTTTCTTTTTTAGGGGACCCATCGGTGTTTGGAAATTTGGAACCTTGTCCTGAGATGATTGACGCAGTTGTCAAGTGTGTAAAACAGTCCAAACATAATGGATATGCTCCTTCAACAGGTAGCCACAGTCCAAGGCTATTTTATTCATTTTAATGTCCCTGTTTCAGAGAGCACTCCTGAGAGCTTACCTTGATGTGTTATTCTAACCTATCATTATTATGGCAATTTATATACCAGGTATATCTTATAGCTAGACCTGTCTATGGGTGTAACCAATATTACAAAAGGTGCCATGATACAGATTATGCTGTGATAAGACCTGACAATCTTCTGTAACACTTGACATAATAAAGCATTCAAAGATTTCACCCAATCATCACATCATTGCTCCATTAACTACTTTTTACTGCTTGTGACCTAAAACTTTCTTTAAAACAAGTAAAAGCTAGTTTATTGAAGCTTTCTGGCTTAATTCAAAACATACTATTTCAAAACAGGAATTTTTCTAAAAAAATCAGCCACTTTATTTCTATAATTAATGTATTAACTTACGCCATTATTTTGCATTGTAGGTTATATCAAAGCACGTGAGGCCATTGCTGCAGAACATTCCTTTCCCTTATCTCCAATAACTTACAAGGTAAAGATTGGATATTCAAACACTGTAATTTAGTTTAGTTTAATTTATTTGTTTCTTGTTAAGTAACTGTTACACGAATACTAACTATATTTAAGTATAGAATTAATGTATATGTATTATTTACTGCTTTATCTTAGGATGTTGTTTTGGCATGTGGATGTTCTGGCGCTTTGGAGCTCGCTCTCGATGTCCTCCTTAATCCTGGTGACAATGTTCTTCTACCCAAACCAGGCTTCTCTATTTACCAGACACTAAGTATTTCACGAGGTCATGAAGTCAGGCATTACAACCTCTTGGTAAGAAATAAAAAGATCTCTAACTACTTTGCAAAAGGATTGTTTTCTTCTGTTGTACATTTGGCATAAGAAAGATAATTATGTATTACATGTAAATAAAAAGTAATTTCACACCTAAACTAAGATCTTTTCAAACTGTACGACCTAAAAATTTTTTTTAATCTGTGGCAACAAGATGATGCCAGAATGTCATGTACTCAGTAGTGTTTAAATTTCTTTTTAAATGTTTCTATAGATCTTTAATCAATTTGTGTTATAAAAATTTAACTTGCACTTTTCATGTAACAAATAAAGGCAAAATCCTACTAATTCAAGATGGGATTCTGCCAATAAACTATAGCTGGAAGATTCTGGGTGGGATTCCACCGAAAATAATAAATTTAAATCAAATTACTCATGATCAGGTGTCAAGGCAACTACAAATACACTGTACGCAAGCCCTTTCTAAAACTGCCCGAAACTTCTCCAAGTCTCCAAATGATAAAAAAAACATTTATGTTATTTAACGACAATGACAAGGAAAGGTTCACAAATCAAGTTTATTACTGCAAATGATACAGCTTCAGGGTGTTTATTAGGTATTGGAAATCGGAGAATTCTTGGGCAACTATGCAGAATTCTCTGACTAGTTTGGACACCCTGTACCTTTTTCTTATACACATGTAGCTACAGCCATTATGTAAACTTAGCTACAAGTTCATAACAGTAAAACAATCTGCACACATGTAAAACTGGTTTCATAAAATAGTAAAATGTCTAGGCAGTAGCTCCAAAGACTCTAAGAAAGAAATCAAATTTTTTCTTGGCAAAAGGATTAATTAACTTAAAACGAGAGATAACTGAATTTCCTGATTTAATGCCTGCAATTTACATTAAGTTTGCAGAGAAAAAAATTCTGTGTCTATTTTGAGGTACTTTCTTGACTGTATAGTTCAAGGTATGTATTAACAATTTTTTTTTTGGAAAATTATTTGCATTTAGCCGGAAAGATCCTGGGAGATTGATATTGATCACCTTGAATCACTGATTGATGACCGAACAAAAGCCATACTTGTGAACAATCCTTCTAACCCTTGTGGCTCAGTTTATTCCAAAGAACATCTGGAGGCCATCCTGGAAGGTAAAAAAATCTACTTATTTATCACAAATTATTCAAGCAGTGATATTATATTTCTTGTACTTTCAAGTTGACAATCAAGAACGTTTTTTTATTTATTTACTTTTTCGGTTTTAAGGCGCATCGTTTTTTCAAAGAAAATGTGCCTGTTCAATTGAAATATGGTCTAAACTCAGGGTGTACCTTAAAGCCAAGTATGCTCACGCCACAAAATATAAAATATGCCAAATTTCCCTGATAAAAGGACTCAATTAAGTAGGTAATAGTGGCCAGTTGTATAATTCTTTATTTAGATACTGTCAACAACTTAGTGACAATTTTTTTTCCAGTGGCTGAAAAATACATGATTCCTATCATTGCTGATGAAGTGTATGAGTATGCAGTGAGTATAAGTTATTAATTAAATAAAACAAATATTTATTAAATGAAGCACAGTTAATTCTTATAGAAAAAAGAACCTGAACTTCATGTGTACAAGTAACAATAACAACAAATTATACGTGAGTAAAAAAGGAAAAAAAAAACTGAGTTGTTGATGCCCTAGCTCAGGGGGTTTTTAGTAACATTTTCAGCGGGGTGGCAACTGGTTTTCACATGTAGTCAGGCAAAACTATTTGAACTGATCCTCTTTAAGAGAAAAAGTTCGGCCGCTACATAGACAAACCAGGCAGGCAAAATCGTCCTCGCAGCCGGTCAATTTGCGCGGTGCCTGGCCCTTAATAAAACCCCTGCTGGCCATAGATGCGTCATCTGTGATGTTACAATAATAATAGTCTGTATAATATTATCAACGGAGGCATATTTATAAATTGCATCATGACTTTGCTCTGATGAAGGGATCATGCTCAAAATGTCAGCTCAACAAACTCAATACAGCAGTTAATTTATCATGATCAACTTCAAGTTTATCCCTGTAAGTACTTCACTTGCCCCATCACCAGCCAACACAGTCAAACAGTTTCTTTAGCATGTAATACCTTTGTTCATATATCATTTGTTTTATTTATGAAGGTGTTTCCTGGATACAAGTTTTACCCTCTTGCTCAGTTATCAGAGAATGTCCCCATCCTAACTTGTGGTGCAATTTCAAAAAGGTTAGTCATTTATCTTTTACAATATTTTCTTATCAAAATATTGTTGTTTGAAAAAGAGTTGTGTGGAAGAATTGAAAACAAGCAGTGAAATCAAAAACAATTTCTTGATGGGATCGTTTTGTGATTAAAAGTCAAACTACATGTAGACTAGGAATTTCACTGGCAAAAGTTACTAATTTCCTCCAGAAGAGGAGATCCACATTATAGAGTGCATAATTACGGTATGTGTTCATAGTAATATATACAGTGTTACTTACCTTTAGGTTCCTTGTGCCTGGTTGGCGACTGGGGTGGGTTCTTATCTACGACAAAAATGAAGCATTCACAACTGAGGTGAGTTGATAACATACCTGTAGTCTTGTTTATAAATGTGTTTCACTTTAATTTCTTTTATCTTGACAAGCTGTTTGTAACCTCAGTGTGATACTATAGGCTGATTCTAGTTGATGTATTAGAAAAAACCCTTATTTTTACATACAAACCATGACCCTCTCTACTTCTTTCCTCTGTACCTGGAGGAATGATTTTAGAGAAAACATGAATATTTAAGCTCTTCAAAATAGCTACAATTGTACAGTCAATTTTAATTTGTGGGGTTAGAGATGAGGGTTGTCCCAAACTTTGACTTCAAATGTTGGCACATTATTTACCCCTAAAAGTATTTATAAATTCTGTTTACAACAGGTACGGCCTGGACTAATTGCACTATCACAACAAATCCTGGGTCCAAACACACTTATCCAAGGAGCTCTACCAGAGATCTTGGCCAATACACCACAAAGCTTCTTTGAAAACTCTATGAAGGTCATTCAGGTTTGTGGAAATGAGATGAATATTAATTTAATAATAATCTTTAGCACTGCCCCACTACAAACATGATACATTGAAAAATTAGTCCATAGCCAGGATAATAAGCTTCAACTGAAAAGTTTTATTTTTTAGTTATTTATTTTCTTTGGGAGGAGGGTATCAGCGTTTAGGAAACAATCTGTTTAATTGAAGATGAAGACTTCTATTCGGCTATGTGAAGAGGAAAGGCATTTTTTAAGGGAGGAGTCGATAAATTATAGTTTCTCAAACTCGTTTAATAATTGATCATCAAGTTTAAATAAAGGAAATCATGTCTGTGATTACTAGGTAATTATTTTAGGTTTAAATAACTCATTTCTTAATATATTTGTATATAACTATTTTTAGGCATCTATTGTATATTACATACTTACATAGATCATATAATCCTATTTTTTTTATATACAATTTTGAGTTCACGTACAAGTTTTAACGAGCGCTTGCACTCCTAGGTGTCGCGTGGTTAAATAAAGTATTGATTGATTGATTGATTGATTGATTGAAATTGATTGATTTGAATATCTGATCTAGATTAGCATAGATAGTTACGATTTTATTTCTGCATTTTCTCCATAGTTTTAGTTTTGATCGAGAAGATATTTCAAACACTCAAGACAGTGATTGACCACATTTCCAAATACCTTGAAGTTTGTCAAAAAATGGTATTTTGAACTCTCTTCTTGGTGTTTGGAAATGTGGTTAAACACAAGTTTTCGTCATTAATAGGGAATATATAGACAAGGGTGATCCACACAATCTGAGTGTACATTTGTTCTTATTTCAGCCCAAAGCTGAACAATTAATGTAACCTCGAGTTTAACTCCTAACACAATTTAAATACACAAATACATGACTGTACAGTGTGCTATGTAAAAACATGTTTCAATTTCTTCCACAGAAAAATGCCGAAATATGCTATGATGCACTTCTTAGAATCCCTGAGCTCAAACCCATAATGCCTTGTGGAGCAATGTACATGATGGTGAGTTCAGCAAGTGTAGCTGTCTGCATGCATTGCAGACCTTTGATGCTATTGGATTGTTTGTGATGAGTGTAATGAAAACAGCTCAATATCATATGCTTGAAGTTTTGCCACTGAACCCTTCAACTTATAAAAAAACTCATCAGGTTTTTCCAGCATTTTGAATTTGAAACTATGTTTGTTATGCAAAAAAATACTTTTTGACTGTTTTGTTATGTTTTGTTTTTTCATTCATTAAGGTTGGTATTGACATTGCCAAACTAGATGGTATTATAGATGACTTGGATTTCACAGAGAAACTGATATCTGAACAGTCAGTGTTTTGTCTGCCAGGAAAGGTAAAATATGGGAAATTCCCTAGAATTCCCTTGACAGATATAGCGGTGATGAATGCTATTTCCAAGACTCACTAAGGCCCTTGATTAAAAATCCAAAACTGATACTTGAAGTATCAGTCTTGAGTTTTTAAAAATGGTTTTGGACTCTGAGACAGAAAGAATCACACAAAAATGACAATTCCGTGACTTACATGTATCACTGAGGACTCTGTGATTTCAACATCAAATCAAACATTCCAAGACCCCCCTTTTTCTTGGTACCATCTCCCAACACTAGATTACAGACAATTATGCATAGAAATCTACTTTTTCTAATCAGAATTGATAACCCATGAAAAGAAGCATTGATATAGATACTCATGACTGGTTTTGTTTATAACAAACTGCAACAATAATGTACTAATCTAATCTGCTTGATTTCCCATTTCAGTGCTTTCAGTATCCAAATTACTTCCGGATTGTACTGACAATACCAGAAGAAATGACACAGTTGGCTTGCAAAAGAATCAATGAGTTTTGCAAAACTCACAGAAAGAGTGAAGTCCACCATACTTTCAGTGCGTAAATGGTTAATACTGTTGGAGTTATTGGGTCATGTGTAAATAATATAATGTTGATATAAAGGTTGGTGAGACTAAAGGTTTCTGCTGTGAGCAGCAAGTTTTACATTTAAAATTGTATTTTTTCAAACTTTCAAAATTTCACACTTCACTGTTCAGATCAACATCATACTTTTTCTGTCTGGCGATGTTTTTAGAAGTTAGTTATTTTTCTGTGATTGTCTTGATAAGGTCATTGACAGGCTTCTGTGAGTGCCTGTTCTATGAAATGGCAATTAAATGCAAGCCAGAGCCATTTATGGCAAAAAGAGAATTTGGATCATGTGTCCTAAAGGCATCCGAGGTCGAGTGTTGATCGATAACCTCAATCAATACCCTCCATTGATACCCTTGATCAATACTTGCTCGGCATTCCACTGATACCTCCCTTGACACTTGATCAACAATCCATCAACATCTTGGTCAAAAGTCGGTTAACAGTCAGCTAATTTTCAATCGATGCATATCAGTCGGCTGACACTCAGCTGACAATGAATGTTGATCAAGTGTCGATCGAGTGTCAACTGAGTATCGATCAAGAACCAATCAAAGGTATCGATCGACACTCGACCTTGGATGCCTTTAGTACAGCTGATCCGAATCCTCTTTTTGACAATGCAATAAATGGCTCTGGCTTCTCCATATGCTGAAAGATATATACTAAATATATATGTTTTAAATAATTTACAGTTAGAGGGGTGCTGGATGGTAAATACAAGACTTTGTGAGACAAGGATCTTTTCTGTCAGCCTGAAATATTTGTAAAAGGGCTGTATAAAAAAATAGTAAAATATACAATAATGCAATGTATTCATAGCAGTAGCAGTTTGTAAAGGCTGAGATTTGCAGTACAAAAATGGTTTCTCTTTCATCATGATGTTCTTTAGAATGTGCTGTTTGAATAATGCCAAGGTGTAAAAAATTTGGTTAAAATTTGATGGCAAATAAATTTCAACAACAAATGAGATGCATACAAGTTTTAGAACAAATGTTTTGTATTTCAAATATCAGGTTTGGAAACTGTAAGCTACAGATATATACAGCTATTATTATTATTATTAGCTGAATAAAATATTTCTACTTTTATAACATCAAGGCACAGCTTAAGAAATATTTAAATAATGTTAACTTTGTATGAAAGGCCTTCATTGTAATTTCTCAAGAATCCCTAAATGTTATATTACTGTAAGCTCAGCTGGTTAAATATCTACATTAATTATTTAAGAGTTAAAAATAATCCATAGAACGTAATATATTGCATGTGTACATGTACATAATTGCATGTCATTGTTAGCTGAATAAAATAGTTCTACTTTTACATGTATAACATCAAGGCATTGGACACAACTTAAGAGTATTTAAATAATGTTAGTTTTGTATGAAAGGTCTTCTTTCCAAGTTTTCAAGAATCCTTAAATGTTATATTAAGCTCAGCTGGTTAAATTTCTATATATTCATTATTTAAGAGTAAAAAATAATTCATTTGTTAGTGTACATGTATATAATTGCATTTAAATTATGGGAACAGTAATAAATTAGATGTTACAGAGTTCAGACATGCATCTTGTTTTGTTGTCATAGAAGAGGGACATTTCTGTGTAGCCCAAGTCTCAAAGCACTTGTCTGCCCTTTCAAAGCTCAAGAGTTCTGAGAAATTAACTATGAGTAGATGGTCATTTTTTCCAGCAGTCGACTAGTTTTGATAACCCTGTTAACACCATTCCGAGATCCAAGTTCACTAACATTTACATCTATGCACATTTACATCCAAGTTCACTAACATTTACATCTGTTGCTCTCTTGAATCAGAGATTAACTGTATTGAGCAGTAATGTCACAGATTGGTAAACAATTTTGCAGAAAAATTTGAAACCGAGTCAACAATCTGCAGAGCAATGCATATGTTTAAGATTTTAACGTCAAATCTCATCTCTCAGCTGTTCAAGACAACATTTCAGAAAAAGAAACCCCTTTCCATCTTTCCATTGAGTTATATACTGTAGAAACACAAGTGGAAGTTTGGGAGAACAATAAAATATATTCTATGGGAACACAAGGCAGAGGCAAATGCCTCCCAACTTTTTTGAAGCCATCTTTTCTAAGAATCAGAACTTTCTTCCAGTGGCCAGTTACTTGTGACATCCTTCATCAAAACCTTTTTCAGTGCCATATACTGCCAATAAGTTTGTTGATAATAAGTCTGCCACCTCCTAGCCTCTCAAACAATTTGAAAAGACTGACATTGCACACTCACAGAAATTAAGTATTGGTGAAACATGCATGAAGCACATGCAGGAAGCAAAACTAGTTTTTATATGGGTTTGGGTGGGGTGGGGAGGGGGGCTCAAACTTAAAACCTTCCATGGGGTAGGATAGTTATTTTCTTGAACAACAAATTTCAGGCTATGAATTTCATTTCATTGCCAAACTTACTGTATGTAACAGGTACATGGAAAAAATCACAAATTGCTGACTTTCTTTAGCATGTCAAATGTAATCAGGCAATTATTTTGGTTTTACATACAGTAGCACAGTTCAGTGAGATTGGCTGAGTAGTCTAATTATAGTATTTAATTTGGTTTTGGTTTTAAAAGTCAACACTCAATAGAAAACCACTCTAATCATGACAACTGCTAAATCACTCTCTAGTCATTTGATTCAGTGACAAAGTACAGTTGTTTTGTGTATATCCGAAATTTGTATCTACCTTGTGGGGACTATTTAGGAGGAAAATAATGATTTCCCTGTCAAGATTAGGATACGAGCCATGTGACCCATCAGGACAGTGCTTATCCCTGGTGTCTGTAGCATGAAGTGATTAGGTCGAGTATTTCTACTCCCCCCTGGATGGGATGCTAGTCCATTGCAGGGCTACCCCCTGCATTAAATTCATCAATAACCATTCATACACCTAGATGGAGAGAGGCACTGTGAGAGTAAAGTGTCTTGCCCAAGAACAGAACACAAAATCCCCTGTCAGGGCTCGATCTCGAATTGCTCAATCCAGAGAAGAGCGCACTAACCATGAGGCCACAGTGCCTCCACCTTGTACCTCAAGATTAGCTCGACGGAAACCTTGCAATGTTGTGTATGAGCAGATGCTCGTGTACACAATTATTGACCCAAGAAATTATGCACAGCAGGATTTACCGTGCAATGCATTTGAGTGGCATCACCTTAACATTTAAGAACTACACATGTATACATACTTTTTCTTCTATTTATTAATTCCTCACCAGATTACATCCAGATTACAAAAAAGTAATGTTAATATTATCTATTTTCTTTGTCTCTCTAGTTGTTTGTGATGCATTATTTTGTTACTTAAGTAATCTGATAATAACTGATCTGCCTAGACTAGCTTAATGCTAACAGTGTATCAGTTTTATATTGGTATTAATTTTTAAATGCGATTGAAATAAAGTGTGTAGGTTGGTTTTCTCCCGAGAGGGCATTCACCCAATCATTTAGCAAAAAGTACTGGGATTCTACAGTCTACAATAATGCTCCCACCCCTCCCCTCCGTGTTTACCTGTATCAATACAAGTAGCTACATTGGGAGGTTGAAACGTGCAAAATCACCATTAAAAAATGTGCGAACTGCCATGTTCACTACTTTCACAAATGTAACCGCATGAAGCGATACGAAAGCAGGAATGCACGGCAAATCGTTTGTTTTACTTTTCACTGCTGTCAATTAAACATGCATTGATCGCCTTCAAACCACGCAGAACAGAGCAAAAGAAAGGACACAGGGCAAGCCCTTGAATACAGAAAGTGAACTTACTCACGGCTGCATTCCCCAAAATTTTGCATCATGTCCGGCAACAAAGGCGAGTGCATTTTGCAGTGTTGGATCCACGCTCGTTCGACTCTCTTCCAAGGTTTCTTGTTCGAAGCTCAAATCCCCGTGTCGTGTGTGAAAGATTACCCCCAAAAACACACCCGACGAGTGCAGTGAAGACAGAGCTTTACGTATTGCTCAGAAACTGAGCAAGAACTAGCATTAAGCCAGAAAAACTTAGGGTTAGAACGCTGATTCTAGACCAGCACCTCACCGAAGGAGACGAACGAGAGAAGGACCGCTTCACATTGCCGCCGTTTATTTGACTGCATTGGCCAATCACAAGACTAGATCCAGGAACAGGCACCCCTGTGACTTGGGCTTGTCCAAGCTCGCCCGGGTTAATGGGCACTGGTCTACCATTTAGCGAAATATTCCGGAAATTTCGGTTGAAAGTGAAATGGAACAGTAATTTTCCGGAAAATCCGTTCGGAAATTGTAGACCTACCTCTAAAGATAGTCCTCTTTTTCCGTTCGGAACAGAAACACGGCGGAAACTTCCTTACCATTTGGAAAATTTTCCAGTTTCCAGTCTCTAATAGTCTCTCGTCAGCCGAAAACAATTGCGAGAAATCGAATTGCAAATGGTAAGCGCCATCTCGTTGGGTTGGTTTGCTGATTTTGGAAAAACCCTTANTTACATACTTACATAGATCATATAATCCTATTTTTTTTATATACAATTTTGAGTTCACGTACAAGTTTTAACGAGCGCTTGCACTCCTAGGTGTCGCGTGGTTAAATAAAGTATTGATTGATTGATTGATTGATTGATTGAAATTGATTGATTTGAATATCTGATCTAGATTAGCATAGATAGTTACGATTTTATTTCTGCATTTTCTCCATAGTTTTAGTTTTGATCGAGAAGATATTTCAAACACTCAAGACAGTGATTGACCACATTTCCAAATACCTTGAAGTTTGTCAAAAAATGGTATTTTGAACTCTCTTCTTGGTGTTTGGAAATGTGGTTAAACACAAGTTTTCGTCATTAATAGGGAATATATAGACAAGGGTGATCCACACAATCTGAGTGTACATTTGTTCTTATTTCAGCCCAAAGCTGAACAATTAATGTAACCTCGAGTTTAACTCCTAACACAATTTAAATACACAAATACATGACTGTACAGTGTGCTATGTAAAAACATGTTTCAATTTCTTCCACAGAAAAATGCCGAAATATGCTATGATGCACTTCTTAGAATCCCTGAGCTCAAACCCATAATGCCTTGTGGAGCAATGTACATGATGGTGAGTTCAGCAAGTGTAGCTGTCTGCATGCATTGCAGACCTTTGATGCTATTGGATTGTTTGTGATGAGTGTAATGAAAACAGCTCAATATCATATGCTTGAAGTTTTGCCACTGAACCCTTCAACTTATAAAAAAACTCATCAGGTTTTTCCAGCATTTTGAATTTGAAACTATGTTTGTTATGCAAAAAAATACTTTTTGACTGTTTTGTTATGTTTTGTTTTTTCATTCATTAAGGTTGGTATTGACATTGCCAAACTAGATGGTATTATAGATGACTTGGATTTCACAGAGAAACTGATATCTGAACAGTCAGTGTTTTGTCTGCCAGGAAAGGTAAAATATGGGAAATTCCCTAGAATTCCCTTGACAGATATAGCGGTGATGAATGCTATTTCCAAGACTCACTAAGGCCCTTGATTAAAAATCCAAAACTGATACTTGAAGTATCAGTCTTGAGTTTTTAAAAATGGTTTTGGACTCTGAGACAGAAAGAATCACACAAAAATGACAATTCCGTGACTTACATGTATCACTGAGGACTCTGTGATTTCAACATCAAATCAAACATTCCAAGACCCCCCTTTTTCTTGGTACCATCTCCCAACACTAGATTACAGACAATTATGCATAGAAATCTACTTTTTCTAATCAGAATTGATAACCCATGAAAAGAAGCATTGATATAGATACTCATGACTGGTTTTGTTTATAACAAACTGCAACAATAATGTACTAATCTAATCTGCTTGATTTCCCATTTCAGTGCTTTCAGTATCCAAATTACTTCCGGATTGTACTGACAATACCAGAAGAAATGACACAGTTGGCTTGCAAAAGAATCAATGAGTTTTGCAAAACTCACAGAAAGAGTGAAGTCCACCATACTTTCAGTGCGTAAATGGTTAATACTGTTGGAGTTATTGGGTCATGTGTAAATAATATAATGTTGATATAAAGGTTGGTGAGACTAAAGGTTTCTGCTGTGAGCAGCAAGTTTTACATTTAAAATTGTATTTTTTCAAACTTTCAAAATTTCACACTTCACTGTTCAGATCAACATCATACTTTTTCTGTCTGGCGATGTTTTTAGAAGTTAGTTATTTTTCTGTGATTGTCTTGATAAGGTCATTGACAGGCTTCTGTGAGTGCCTGTTCTATGAAATGGCAATTAAATGCAAGCCAGAGCCATTTATGGCAAAAAGAGAATTTGGATCATGTGTCCTAAAGGCATCCGAGGTCGAGTGTTGATCGATAACCTCAATCAATACCCTCCATTGATACCCTTGATCAATACTTGCTCGGCATTCCACTGATACCTCCCTTGACACTTGATCAACAATCCATCAACATCTTGGTCAAAAGTCGGTTAACAGTCAGCTAATTTTCAATCGATGCATATCAGTCGGCTGACACTCAGCTGACAATGAATGTTGATCAAGTGTCGATCGAGTGTCAACTGAGTATCGATCAAGAACCAATCAAAGGTATCGATCGACACTCGACCTTGGATGCCTTTAGTACAGCTGATCCGAATCCTCTTTTTGACAATGCAATAAATGGCTCTGGCTTCTCCATATGCTGAAAGATATATACTAAATATATATGTTTTAAATAATTTACAGTTAGAGGGGTGCTGGATGGTAAATACAAGACTTTGTGAGACAAGGATCTTTTCTGTCAGCCTGAAATATTTGTAAAAGGGCTGTATAAAAAAATAGTAAAATATACAATAATGCAATGTATTCATAGCAGTAGCAGTTTGTAAAGGCTGAGATTTGCAGTACAAAAATGGTTTCTCTTTCATCATGATGTTCTTTAGAATGTGCTGTTTGAATAATGCCAAGGTGTAAAAAATTTGGTTAAAATTTGATGGCAAATAAATTTCAACAACAAATGAGATGCATACAAGTTTTAGAACAAATGTTTTGTATTTCAAATATCAGGTTTGGAAACTGTAAGCTACAGATATATACAGCTATTATTATTATTATTAGCTGAATAAAATATTTCTACTTTTATAACATCAAGGCACAGCTTAAGAAATATTTAAATAATGTTAACTTTGTATGAAAGGCCTTCATTGTAATTTCTCAAGAATCCCTAAATGTTATATTACTGTAAGCTCAGCTGGTTAAATATCTACATTAATTATTTAAGAGTTAAAAATAATCCATAGAACGTAATATATTGCATGTGTACATGTACATAATTGCATGTCATTGTTAGCTGAATAAAATAGTTCTACTTTTACATGTATAACATCAAGGCATTGGACACAACTTAAGAGTATTTAAATAATGTTAGTTTTGTATGAAAGGTCTTCTTTCCAAGTTTTCAAGAATCCTTAAATGTTATATTAAGCTCAGCTGGTTAAATTTCTATATATTCATTATTTAAGAGTAAAAAATAATTCATTTGTTAGTGTACATGTATATAATTGCATTTAAATTATGGGAACAGTAATAAATTAGATGTTACAGAGTTCAGACATGCATCTTGTTTTGTTGTCATAGAAGAGGGACATTTCTGTGTAGCCCAAGTCTCAAAGCACTTGTCTGCCCTTTCAAAGCTCAAGAGTTCTGAGAAATTAACTATGAGTAGATGGTCATTTTTTCCAGCAGTCGACTAGTTTTGATAACCCTGTTAACACCATTCCGAGATCCAAGTTCACTAACATTTACATCTATGCACATTTACATCCAAGTTCACTAACATTTACATCTGTTGCTCTCTTGAATCAGAGATTAACTGTATTGAGCAGTAATGTCACAGATTGGTAAACAATTTTGCAGAAAAATTTGAAACCGAGTCAACAATCTGCAGAGCAATGCATATGTTTAAGATTTTAACGTCAAATCTCATCTCTCAGCTGTTCAAGACAACATTTCAGAAAAAGAAACCCCTTTCCATCTTTCCATTGAGTTATATACTGTAGAAACACAAGTGGAAGTTTGGGAGAACAATAAAATATATTCTATGGGAACACAAGGCAGAGGCAAATGCCTCCCAACTTTTTTGAAGCCATCTTTTCTAAGAATCAGAACTTTCTTCCAGTGGCCAGTTACTTGTGACATCCTTCATCAAAACCTTTTTCAGTGCCATATACTGCCAATAAGTTTGTTGATAATAAGTCTGCCACCTCCTAGCCTCTCAAACAATTTGAAAAGACTGACATTGCACACTCACAGAAATTAAGTATTGGTGAAACATGCATGAAGCACATGCAGGAAGCAAAACTAGTTTTTATATGGGTTTGGGTGGGGTGGGGAGGGGGGCTCAAACTTAAAACCTTCCATGGGGTAGGATAGTTATTTTCTTGAACAACAAATTTCAGGCTATGAATTTCATTTCATTGCCAAACTTACTGTATGTAACAGGTACATGGAAAAAATCACAAATTGCTGACTTTCTTTAGCATGTCAAATGTAATCAGGCAATTATTTTGGTTTTACATACAGTAGCACAGTTCAGTGAGATTGGCTGAGTAGTCTAATTATAGTATTTAATTTGGTTTTGGTTTTAAAAGTCAACACTCAATAGAAAACCACTCTAATCATGACAACTGCTAAATCACTCTCTAGTCATTTGATTCAGTGACAAAGTACAGTTGTTTTGTGTATATCCGAAATTTGTATCTACCTTGTGGGGACTATTTAGGAGGAAAATAATGATTTCCCTGTCAAGATTAGGATACGAGCCATGTGACCCATCAGGACAGTGCTTATCCCTGGTGTCTGTAGCATGAAGTGATTAGGTCGAGTATTTCTACTCCCCCCTGGATGGGATGCTAGTCCATTGCAGGGCTACCCCCTGCATTAAATTCATCAATAACCATTCATACACCTAGATGGAGAGAGGCACTGTGAGAGTAAAGTGTCTTGCCCAAGAACAGAACACAAAATCCCCTGTCAGGGCTCGATCTCGAATTGCTCAATCCAGAGAAGAGCGCACTAACCATGAGGCCACAGTGCCTCCACCTTGTACCTCAAGATTAGCTCGACGGAAACCTTGCAATGTTGTGTATGAGCAGATGCTCGTGTACACAATTATTGACCCAAGAAATTATGCACAGCAGGATTTACCGTGCAATGCATTTGAGTGGCATCACCTTAACATTTAAGAACTACACATGTATACATACTTTTTCTTCTATTTATTAATTCCTCACCAGATTACATCCAGATTACAAAAAAGTAATGTTAATATTATCTATTTTCTTTGTCTCTCTAGTTGTTTGTGATGCATTATTTTGTTACTTAAGTAATCTGATAATAACTGATCTGCCTAGACTAGCTTAATGCTAACAGTGTATCAGTTTTATATTGGTATTAATTTTTAAATGCGATTGAAATAAAGTGTGTAGGTTGGTTTTCTCCCGAGAGGGCATTCACCCAATCATTTAGCAAAAAGTACTGGGATTCTACAGTCTACAATAATGCTCCCACCCCTCCCCTCCGTGTTTACCTGTATCAATACAAGTAGCTACATTGGGAGGTTGAAACGTGCAAAATCACCATTAAAAAATGTGCGAACTGCCATGTTCACTACTTTCACAAATGTAACCGCATGAAGCGATACGAAAGCAGGAATGCACGGCAAATCGTTTGTTTTACTTTTCACTGCTGTCAATTAAACATGCATTGATCGCCTTCAAACCACGCAGAACAGAGCAAAAGAAAGGACACAGGGCAAGCCCTTGAATACAGAAAGTGAACTTACTCACGGCTGCATTCCCCAAAATTTTGCATCATGTCCGGCAACAAAGGCGAGTGCATTTTGCAGTGTTGGATCCACGCTCGTTCGACTCTCTTCCAAGGTTTCTTGTTCGAAGCTCAAATCCCCGTGTCGTGTGTGAAAGATTACCCCCAAAAACACACCCGACGAGTGCAGTGAAGACAGAGCTTTACGTATTGCTCAGAAACTGAGCAAGAACTAGCATTAAGCCAGAAAAACTTAGGGTTAGAACGCTGATTCTAGACCAGCACCTCACCGAAGGAGACGAACGAGAGAAGGACCGCTTCACATTGCCGCCGTTTATTTGACTGCATTGGCCAATCACAAGACTAGATCCAGGAACAGGCACCCCTGTGACTTGGGCTTGTCCAAGCTCGCCCGGGTTAATGGGCACTGGTCTACCATTTAGCGAAATATTCCGGAAATTTCGGTTGAAAGTGAAATGGAACAGTAATTTTCCGGAAAATCCGTTCGGAAATTGTAGACCTACCTCTAAAGATAGTCCTCTTTTTCCGTTCGGAACAGAAACACGGCGGAAACTTCCTTACCATTTGGAAAATTTTCCAGTTTCCAGTCTCTAATAGTCTCTCGTCAGCCGAAAACAATTGCGAGAAATCGAATTGCAAATGGTAAGCGCCATCTCGTTGGGTTGGTTTGCTGATTTTGGAAAAACCCTTACCATTATTTCACGGTCATCCCAACCGGTTCATTCTGAAAAATGGCAAGCACTCCCGGTCTTCCGGGTTTCGAAAATTTTGGTCAACCTTTCAAGCTTCCTGCATGATATTTTTGCCGAGTGGGAATTTTTGTTAGGGTACAAAGCAATTGTTTCTCAAACAGAAATTTGGCATGGCTGTAAACGCTAAAAGGCCTGGAACTTTTTATGGTGCAAAATATTATTCAGAACATTCCATCAAAACAGTGAAAAGGGACTTCAATTCTGGAAACTGTTCCGTTTTATTTTTTCAGAGAATTTTTCCATTTGGGACCAGCAGAAAAAGTGCCCTTTTTTGTCCCGACCTATTGCGCCCCGTTTTTCCGTAAAGTTTTAGAAAAATTGAAGCTGCTTTCCACGGCAGCATTTTTGACAACGTAACGTTTTTAAGCTTTTCGACTTTCTACAGCAGTATATGTTCCCTGCTTTTTGCCCTCAGCAGGCGTAGAATATTCCTCACTCCATCCCGGTTCCGAAAGGCAGAGAGGACTCAGAGGATTGGGGCAGAGTGGAGTTAGGGGAGGAAAGAGGGTGGGCTGTAATCCTACCTTGAACCACACCATTTTAATACACACATGGACAAGAAATAGGTTTCCTGAGGTAAAATCATTTTATTTACTGCGTCAAAAAGGAATAGAGAGTGCGTAAAATGATATATAAAATAACTGAGATGAAATAATTTTATACATATATATACGATTTCGTCTTTTGAGTGATAATGGAGCTAACGGTCAACTAACTTAAAACTTATCCGCCAGCCTTTAAACATAAGTTAATTTGCCCCGTCGACCGGTCATCAAGACTGAGTTGTTACATTTTATCATATGACTAGAACTTGTTAAGATATAACGCACGCTGTGTTTCGACTGAAGAACTGTCTGTTGTAATAACGCGAAAATCAGGCCCTAATCTGACCATTAATTAGCGATTCACGTGAAATGGTTTCTTCTGAGACTACTTTTCAAATTATTTAATTTAATAGTTCCTCGCTTAGCTTTTTAATCTTATTCTCGTCGCGTATTTAACACGTATAAGTCTCTATCCCTCGAAGGGGGACACCTGGGTAATAGAATGGTGAAACGATTCTGTTCCCAGAATCCTTCTCGTAGCTGTCTTGCTATTTTTGCTTGGATTCCAGAGTGAACGATTAGTTGCAACTGGAAATATTTTGAAACTCTGGGATAAGCTTTAGAGAGATTTCCGAGATAACGATAAAATTCCCTTGTAAATTGTATCTGTAACTTTTATTATATTATAATCCACCCCGACACTGTGAATATATCGAATCCTAATTTGCCAGACATTTCTTGCAGAGTGGTCGCTTATCCCCGTAGTCACTGCAATGATGTCCGATGCATTGACAGCAGCCATTCCGGAACCAGCGGTATCTGTGTGATCCAAGGTCAGAGCAGATCTTTATGCAGGTTTCCTTAACGACACAGCCATCACGGAAAGCTACTTTACAGACACTTTTGTTGTTGGAAGAGCCTAAAATGTACAGAAAAAGGGATCGTCAAGAGAAGAACTGATCAGGTGGAGGAGAATTGTTGGGTGAACAACAAGTAAAAAACCGAGAGCAAAACTGGACGGTTAGGGATCCCCCAGAGGATAATTAACTGACTTGCAACCTACGCCAATGAAAACCGGGGGCGTGAGGAGTTAAGTTGCACCATTTTAGATGTATTGCCTTTCTGAACACCGAACGTAAAATAACATGATGAAATATCCTTAAATGATGAAATTTTAGTCAGTTAAGTACATTTATAACAAATAAAAGGATTTCCGACTCATTTAAGTCTGTCGGCTCTACAGCAGAATCACGTTATCACAAGGCCCATAAGTATTGTTGCAATCCATTTTATAACAATGTTTAATTTATCATAAGTGCTCTTCGATCGTTGGCCTGATCATTTTTTTGTTTCCTACAATTTCAAACAGTTCCGGCCTTTTTAAAGTTTCCCTTTATTTTTAGATCAATTTGCATGTATTTAGTGACTAAATCGCTTTTCGTGCATGCTACTACTGTCAACGCGCACTTGACTCATTGAAATGAACGGAAAAGTAAACCTTTTGATGAGCGGCGTTGCCGACACGGGTGCAGTCGCCTCTTTCAGAAACGGAAACCGGAAATCTAAAATAAAATCGGAAATCTACCTAAACAAATTTTTGCTGCCATTGCAGCATTTAGCTTAACATTTCACCGCACTAAAGGCTTCCATTCTTCTTCATAAAAATTTTCAATCTCGAGCCCGGCGCAGCGATATTCTGGAGTTCGAATACCGAAAAAAGCAGAAAGTGGATGTTGTGGATGTGTAAAGATCACGCCATTCTAGCTAAGTGCGCGCACTTGCAGAAGAGTTAAACTTTTCGTTTTCTTCAGTGGTATTAGTATTCTTAGTTCCTCGATTAGACCACTGAAATCAGTAAAAAAAAATACAATTATCTGCCAACGCCAAACAAGGAAAAAAATCACTGAAATGTCAGGCTGGGGTTATCTGTCTAAATCGGTGGTTTTCTGCACTTTTCAGTGCACCAGTTCTTGACCTAACTCAATAATAATTGACCAATAGTCAATGTCACTGACACTAACAAGAATGAGATATTTCTGTCAGATTAGTCCACGGTCGTCGTCGTTGTTGTTGTTGTGTTTCACTTCAGCGGTTTTACTAGTTTAATAAAAAAAAAGATCTCCTGGCCGAGGTTGTTCCAAGGAAGGATAACGCTATCCACTGGATAGCGTGATTCAGTTTTCGTTGGATAGCAATTTATCCGGTGGATAGTTTTATCCACCCTTTTACCCCAAGTTAGCTAGAAGACGTTACACACTATGTACAAACTGCAATTAAAAAAAAAATCAGTCTTAAATCGAGCTAAGTGGCCATATAACGCACACACATTTCTTCAAAAGGGACAACTAACCTTTCTCTCCGTCATGTGGCCGAAACTAAAAGCCAACTGAGATACACGCCGAGATAGATGTTAAAACAAAGAAAGAATGATCGACTCCAACGCCGGCCAAAACATACCTTTTTTCCCCGAGGTAGGTGACAAAGGAGTTTCAGATTGGCGCGGTCTCGTCTTAAACACTATGGGGAAACGCGATCCATGACTCATCGCCTGGAACGACGCCTCGAACAGTGTTGGTAAAGACGTGTCCAAATCGCCGAAGGTGCTTGGCACTTCCTGGGGTTTACTCGTGGCGTTTGGAGGTGAAAAATAGCTACACAGACCAATACAGTCGCAACATTTTCTCCAGAGATTACCAAGGCATCTAAAACAGTCTTCACAACACTCACACTTTTGCCCGGGGGCTCTAGGTCTGCAGCGTTGGCAATCTTTCATTATGATACAGAATGACACTCGAGCAACACACACCTTGCCTTTACATCTCTTGAATGCCCTTAACTCGTCTTGGCTGGGTTTACCATGTCGACGCCGTGTTTCGCTCATCAACATGTTTAGCATAACTAACACGAAGAAGAGGAGCAGCGTCGTCGAGTTTCTCATCGTGAGCTAAAAGAAAACCCTGTATCAGTCAGTTATCATTATCACAAGTTCTACTATTGTTGCGAGACACATATTGGCTTGTGTTAGTACTAAGGTTAACGTTATCCTCCAAGTGAGATAGTGGTTCGCGTCTTATGACAGCGAAGCATGAAACGAATGTTTTCAACTTACGATCTCGGTGTTATACGGCATTTTCAGGGACAAAAGAATGGTACAATTTCAAGCATACCATTTGTAAGGTTTCGGAGGATTTCTCACTTCGTGACCGGTGCTAAGCCTTTTTAGGGCGGTGTAGAGCGATGAGCGCGATCTAACTATAAGGTTGAGTAACTTCGCTTTCCTGAATATGTAGCGAAATGAGAAACAAAATGATTTTCTGATAAAAAGGTAGTTACTACGCCAAGAGGATATGTTTCTGGTGGGTAAACCGTATAAAGCACAGGGGTACCGCCTAGATGTCAGTGACAGACAGAGTGGATCGTGCAGCTCGTTAAATAAGCCAATATTCCGGGAAATGAGTTATGGATTAGTAGCCTGGGGTTTATCTATCCCCCCTAAGCGGAAACATGTTAAAAATCAGGCGATTACAATTAATAAACTGGAAAAACAAGTAAAACAGTTTAAGTACATATAACGAAAACTGAACACTGAAGGCTTAGTATTATCAACGAACAGACACAATAACACAAATTTAACAATGTGATCACTACATCGCTGTTCTATTGGAATTGACCCATGGAATTTTTTGCGGTGGCTATCACATGGCGAGTTTCTGTTCACCACCCAGGTAGTGCTTAAAGCGAGTCTTTCCACACGCATTGTTCCGCCAGTAAGAGAAAAAGCAAAATCTCAAAATTGTATAAATAATAAAGTATTTATATTAAGATATGTTGCAAACCTCTCTCGCTCATCTCTAGGTTGTTTTGCGGTTTTCGGAAATGAACGGAATTCAAGTGCGCTAGGACATGACAACATTTAAGACACGAACTTAAGGTTGAAGATATTTGTTACTGTTTACAACTATTTTGGTTCTCAGTTTTAAGTCGAATACCGTGGCCAACCTTTTGCTGGAACGTTATAGATTTTGATTTGGTAATAGCTTAAGAAGCAATTTGTCAAAGATATTATAGGTCTAACTGAAAGGCTTACCGTCTTCCCACTCTTTTCGATCCTGTTTATCGCAGGGATAAGTCCTGCGAGTGTTTTGACAACACTAAAAAAAGAGGAAACATTTGCTGAATTAAACCTCATCTCTCCGACTGAGATAATCCTTAAGTAATCCTTTGGCTTCATTTCATTGCGCTTTTTAGTGCGTGCACGCGACTGAAATGATTGTTTCGGCGCGGAAGCGAGATTTACTGAATAAGAAGATTACTAGTTATGTCCTCCGATAACATGATTACTACTGAAAATGCGACAAAGGAATAACCGCATTTAAGTTGCCAAACTGAGTTCATCTTCATTAAACTTTTCAAAAGTTTCAGTGTTTCTTTTAAAATCTAGTCTCCTCTGTCTGCCTTTCAAAGTTGTTAATCATGAAAGAAGTCAGTATTACTGGCGAAGATGTTGTTGTCCCGTTAATCCTAAATTAAGTGACTTTTTACTAGATCCAGTTAGTTTCTTTTAGTTCTTGTCCACGAAACAAACTGCACTGAAACTAACAAGTCAGGAGTGAAATGAGGGTCGCGCCCTCTGTTTTCTTTAACGCCTAAGAAAATCTACTTTTGAACAATGACACAGAAAACTACAAACATTTTTTTAGGCAAGGGTTTTGAGGGCAGCTTATGTTTGGTTTGCTTTCTAGCCAACTGCAGTCCAAAGTTGAATACGTACAAGACAGGGCTAGAGGGTAAATCCTCAGAACTAACTGACTTGAAAGCAATTCGTGCGTGGTAACATGGAGTCCATGCGAGGAGAATTTCTATTTCAAACCAACACCGGGTTGAAACAAATATTTCATCTTCTTCTTGGTAACATTGTAACAGCTTTGATCATCATCTTTATTGCTGACAAATATGTCCGGTCCGGTTGATGAAATGGCCAATCTGACGAATGGAGTGCCCGAGGCACGACCACCCGTATACGAAGGTAGATAGCATAGGTTTGGTACTGTCGTACGGACGTGTGTGGCAATAACGGAACGGTATATGTATCGGATCTAATTTGATTTAAAAGAGTATAAAGGTCCACCTATTCGGGTCTCTGATTTATCTTCGCCCCCTACAGTTTCACTTAATTAGCATCGCCTATTACGTACACCAGGCACAGAACATTTGCAAGAGTCTTCAACTTTTCAAAAGCTTAGGACTAATTGCATTGCTAATTGATTTTCCCAAGGTGTTAGCAAAAAAGAATCTTCTAGTTCAATACAAGAGACGATGATGATCGATTGTCTCTTGTTAAATATAAGCTTCGGGGACTCGGGTGAACGCTTGATGTCTTTCAATCCCACGTTTGATCACGGAAAAATAATTTTCCCATACCGTCGACCTCTCTAAGCCTTAACAATCGCGCGGATCGTGGGTGACCACGAAAACTTAAATTCGCCTGTATTCAAACATTTTCCGTTACTTTTCAACCTCTAGTAAGCGACCCAAATAGGTTTTTTATATGGCTTGCCTTTGTAGCCGATATAACGCGCGCTCTGATTGGCTTATTGTAGGGCATTATTTCCCCGTAATGCCCATCGTGCACGGGCTGATTACGGGCCTGCGAAAAAGCCAAAAAGCCATATAATAAAACTCATATTAACCTCGAACGTTCGGTCTTTACGGAAAAAACTCAAACCTCGGACTTGCCGTATTGACCTCGTTATCGCTCTGATACGGTAAGCTCTCGGTTTGAGATTTATATTTAAGACCTCACTCTCGGTTAATAAGTAGTTAATACTGCTTAATTCTTAGCATTTTGTACTGGAATTCGTTTGGACTGTAATCGAGCAAGTTGATTTGGTATGCCATCAGGACACGCAGGACACGCAGGACTCGCTCGTCATGTAATATGACATGAACTGTAGCATTAAGTGTGACATAAATTAATTAAAATGCACACACATATATTACAGATCAGAAGGCTAGTGGGTTTGCGCGATCACATGGGAGAATTTACGATCGAAATCATCGAACTGACAGATGTAAGGAAATTCTCACTCCGTTTTCAAGGCCCAAAATCATTTAATTCTCTCAGCCCTTAAACTTAAAATGCCTCTAGGATTGTTGCGTTCACCTCTACACTTAAGCCATCTTTCTTGGTATAAGTGCATTTTACTTCTCTTAGTGTGCTTTTTTTCGCATTTTTTTTTTGTCTTCCTTTGCTTTTGCGCATTTGCGCGTTCAGTTTTGGTTAATTATCTTTTACCCTAAATTATGATCAGTTTGTGTCCCGATAACAGGTCACAATAGCATTATAATTTTTAGGTAACTTCAAAGGTACTCCCTTACATAAGCCTTACTGGCTTTCCTGGACTTCCTTGCCTTACAGATTGATATTTTGCAAATATATTTATAGATGGCAAAAATAAAAACAAGCAAACTATGCACGTTTACGTAATACCGCCATTTAATTGCGCGGCTTTTTCAGTCATGTTATAGGGTGAATTGATATAAGTTGCTTTGCTATCTATGTCGTGATATGAATGGACATGAGAATGTTCGATAACCCACTCAGATATATATTAAGTATTCATCGAACAACTGCATTCATCTTTACAAAAGTGCATAACTCAGTTTTCCTACTCTGAAATAAATGAATAGAAAAAATGAACTTTGCTTGAACTTTTTTTGACATTCCCAACAAGCTCGCATCTGACAACCTGTAGTTTTCGGATATCAGAACGAAGCTAAAACATCCTTTGCATTATGCACTTCCACCCAATTTCAGCTTCCTCTGCACCAGCCTGAATTTTCGTTAGTGAACTTTAACTCTCCCTGGTTAGCTCGGGGCTATAAACTTTCNTTATTTTTAGATCAATTTGCATGTATTTAGTGACTAAATCGCTTTTCGTGCATGCTACTACTGTCAACGCGCACTTGACTCATTGAAATGAACGGAAAAGTAAACCTTTTGATGAGCGGCGTTGCCGACACGGGTGCAGTCGCCTCTTTCAGAAACGGAAACCGGAAATCTAAAATAAAATCGGAAATCTACCTAAACAAATTTTTGCTGCCATTGCAGCATTTAGCTTAACATTTCACCGCACTAAAGGCTTCCATTCTTCTTCATAAAAATTTTCAATCTCGAGCCCGGCGCAGCGATATTCTGGAGTTCGAATACCGAAAAAAGCAGAAAGTGGATGTTGTGGATGTGTAAAGATCACGCCATTCTAGCTAAGTGCGCGCACTTGCAGAAGAGTTAAACTTTTCGTTTTCTTCAGTGGTATTAGTATTCTTAGTTCCTCGATTAGACCACTGAAATCAGTAAAAAAAAATACAATTATCTGCCAACGCCAAACAAGGAAAAAAATCACTGAAATGTCAGGCTGGGGTTATCTGTCTAAATCGGTGGTTTTCTGCACTTTTCAGTGCACCAGTTCTTGACCTAACTCAATAATAATTGACCAATAGTCAATGTCACTGACACTAACAAGAATGAGATATTTCTGTCAGATTAGTCCACGGTCGTCGTCGTTGTTGTTGTTGTGTTTCACTTCAGCGGTTTTACTAGTTTAATAAAAAAAAAGATCTCCTGGCCGAGGTTGTTCCAAGGAAGGATAACGCTATCCACTGGATAGCGTGATTCAGTTTTCGTTGGATAGCAATTTATCCGGTGGATAGTTTTATCCACCCTTTTACCCCAAGTTAGCTAGAAGACGTTACACACTATGTACAAACTGCAATTAAAAAAAAAATCAGTCTTAAATCGAGCTAAGTGGCCATATAACGCACACACATTTCTTCAAAAGGGACAACTAACCTTTCTCTCCGTCATGTGGCCGAAACTAAAAGCCAACTGAGATACACGCCGAGATAGATGTTAAAACAAAGAAAGAATGATCGACTCCAACGCCGGCCAAAACATACCTTTTTTCCCCGAAGTAGGTGACAAAGGAGTTTCAGATTGGCGCGGTCTCGTCTTAAACACTATGGGGAAACGCGATCCATGACTCATCGCCTGGAACGACGCCTCGAACAGTGTTGGTAAAGACGTGTCCAAATCGCCGAAGGTGCTTGGCACTTCCTGGGGTTTACTCGTGGCGTTTGGAGGTGAAAAATAGCTACACAGACCAATACAGTCGCAACATTTTCTCCAGAGATTACCAAGGCATCTAAAACAGTCTTCACAACACTCACACTTTTGCCCGGGGGCTCTAGGTCTGCAGCGTTGGCAATCTTTCATTATGATACAGAATGACACTCGAGCAACACACACCTTGCCTTTACATCTCTTGAATGCCCTTAACTCGTCTTGGCTGGGTTTACCATGTCGACGCCGTGTTTCGCTCATCAACATGTTTAGCATAACTAACACGAAGAAGAGGAGCAGCGTCGTCGAGTTTCTCATCGTGAGCTAAAAGAAAACCCTGTATCAGTCAGTTATCATTATCACAAGTTCTACTATTGTTGCGAGACACATATTGGCTTGTGTTAGTACTAAGGTTAACGTTATCCTCCAAGTGAGATAGTGGTTCGCGTCTTATGACAGCGAAGCATGAAACGAATGTTTTCAACTTACGATCTCGGTGTTATACGGCATTTTCAGGGACAAAAGAATGGTACAATTTCAAGCATACCATTTGTAAGGTTTCGGAGGATTTCTCACTTCGTGACCGGTGCTAAGCCTTTTTAGGGCGGTGTAGAGCGATGAGCGCGATCTAACTATAAGGTTGAGTAACTTCGCTTTCCTGAATATGTAGCGAAATGAGAAACAAAATGATTTTCTGATAAAAAGGTAGTTACTACGCCAAGAGGATATGTTTCTGGTGGGTAAACCGTATAAAGCACAGGGGTACCGCCTAGATGTCAGTGACAGACAGAGTGGATCGTGCAGCTCGTTAAATAAGCCAATATTCCGGGAAATGAGTTATGGATTAGTAGCCTGGGGTTTATCTATCCCCCCTAAGCGGAAACATGTTAAAAATCAGGCGATTACAATTAATAAACTGGAAAAACAAGTAAAACAGTTTAAGTACATATAACGAAAACTGAACACTGAAGGCTTAGTATTATCAACGAACAGACACAATAACACAAATTTAACAATGTGATCACTACATCGCTGTTCTATTGGAATTGACCCATGGAATTTTTTGCGGTGGCTATCACATGGCGAGTTTCTGTTCACCACCCAGGTAGTGCTTAAAGCGAGTCTTTCCACACGCATTGTTCCGCCAGTAAGAGAAAAAGCAAAATCTCAAAATTGTATAAATAATAAAGTATTTATATTAAGATATGTTGCAAACCTCTCTCGCTCATCTCTAGGTTGTTTTGCGGTTTTCGGAAATGAACGGAATTCAAGTGCGCTAGGACATGACAACATTTAAGACACGAACTTAAGGTTGAAGATATTTGTTACTGTTTACAACTATTTTGGTTCTCAGTTTTAAGTCGAATACCGTGGCCAACCTTTTGCTGGAACGTTATAGATTTTGATTTGGTAATAGCTTAAGAAGCAATTTGTCAAAGATATTATAGGTCTAACTGAAAGGCTTACCGTCTTCCCACTCTTTTCGATCCTGTTTATCGCAGGGATAAGTCCTGCGAGTGTTTTGACAACACTAAAAAAAGAGGAAACATTTGCTGAATTAAACCTCATCTCTCCGACTGAGATAATCCTTAAGTAATCCTTTGGCTTCATTTCATTGCGCTTTTTAGTGCGTGCACGCGACTGAAATGATTGTTTCGGCGCGGAAGCGAGATTTACTGAATAAGAAGATTACTAGTTATGTCCTCCGATAACATGATTACTACTGAAAATGCGACAAAGGAATAACCGCATTTAAGTTGCCAAACTGAGTTCATCTTCATTAAACTTTTCAAAAGTTTCAGTGTTTCTTTTAAAATCTAGTCTCCTCTGTCTGCCTTTCAAAGTTGTTAATCATGAAAGAAGTCAGTATTACTGGCGAAGATGTTGTTGTCCCGTTAATCCTAAATTAAGTGACTTTTTACTAGATCCAGTTAGTTTCTTTTAGTTCTTGTCCACGAAACAAACTGCACTGAAACTAACAAGTCAGGAGTGAAATGAGGGTCGCGCCCTCTGTTTTCTTTAACGCCTAAGAAAATCTACTTTTGAACAATGACACAGAAAACTACAAACATTTTTTTAGGCAAGGGTTTTGAGGGCAGCTTATGTTTGGTTTGCTTTCTAGCCAACTGCAGTCCAAAGTTGAATACGTACAAGACAGGGCTAGAGGGTAAATCCTCAGAACTAACTGACTTGAAAGCAATTCGTGCGTGGTAACATGGAGTCCATGCGAGGAGAATTTCTATTTCAAACCAACACCGGGTTGAAACAAATATTTCATCTTCTTCTTGGTAACATTGTAACAGCTTTGATCATCATCTTTATTGCTGACAAATATGTCCGGTCCGGTTGATGAAATGGCCAATCTGACGAATGGAGTGCCCGAGGCACGACCACCCGTATACGAAGGTAGATAGCATAGGTTTGGTACTGTCGTACGGACGTGTGTGGCAATAACGGAACGGTATATGTATCGGATCTAATTTGATTTAAAAGAGTATAAAGGTCCACCTATTCGGGTCTCTGATTTATCTTCGCCCCCTACAGTTTCACTTAATTAGCATCGCCTATTACGTACACCAGGCACAGAACATTTGCAAGAGTCTTCAACTTTTCAAAAGCTTAGGACTAATTGCATTGCTAATTGATTTTCCCAAGGTGTTAGCAAAAAAGAATCTTCTAGTTCAATACAAGAGACGATGATGATCGATTGTCTCTTGTTAAATATAAGCTTCGGGGACTCGGGTGAACGCTTGATGTCTTTCAATCCCACGTTTGATCACGGAAAAATAATTTTCCCATACCGTCGACCTCTCTAAGCCTTAACAATCGCGCGGATCGTGGGTGACCACGAAAACTTAAATTCGCCTGTATTCAAACATTTTCCGTTACTTTTCAACCTCTAGTAAGCGACCCAAATAGGTTTTTTATATGGCTTGCCTTTGTAGCCGATATAACGCGCGCTCTGATTGGCTTATTGTAGGGCATTATTTCCCCGTAATGCCCATCGTGCACGGGCTGATTACGGGCCTGCGAAAAAGCCAAAAAGCCATATAATAAAACTCATATTAACCTCGAACGTTCGGTCTTTACGGAAAAAACTCAAACCTCGGACTTGCCGTATTGACCTCGTTATCGCTCTGATACGGTAAGCTCTCGGTTTGAGATTTATATTTAAGACCTCACTCTCGGTTAATAAGTAGTTAATACTGCTTAATTCTTAGCATTTTGTACTGGAATTCGTTTGGACTGTAATCGAGCAAGTTGATTTGGTATGCCATCAGGACACGCAGGACACGCAGGACTCGCTCGTCATGTAATATGACATGAACTGTAGCATTAAGTGTGACATAAATTAATTAAAATGCACACACATATATTACAGATCAGAAGGCTAGTGGGTTTGCGCGATCACATGGGAGAATTTACGATCGAAATCATCGAACTGACAGATGTAAGGAAATTCTCACTCCGTTTTCAAGGCCCAAAATCATTTAATTCTCTCAGCCCTTAAACTTAAAATGCCTCTAGGATTGTTGCGTTCACCTCTACACTTAAGCCATCTTTCTTGGTATAAGTGCATTTTACTTCTCTTAGTGTGCTTTTTTTCGCATTTTTTTTTTGTCTTCCTTTGCTTTTGCGCATTTGCGCGTTCAGTTTTGGTTAATTATCTTTTACCCTAAATTATGATCAGTTTGTGTCCCGATAACAGGTCACAATAGCATTATAATTTTTAGGTAACTTCAAAGGTACTCCCTTACATAAGCCTTACTGGCTTTCCTGGACTTCCTTGCCTTACAGATTGATATTTTGCAAATATATTTATAGATGGCAAAAATAAAAACAAGCAAACTATGCACGTTTACGTAATACCGCCATTTAATTGCGCGGCTTTTTCAGTCATGTTATAGGGTGAATTGATATAAGTTGCTTTGCTATCTATGTCGTGATATGAATGGACATGAGAATGTTCGATAACCCACTCAGATATATATTAAGTATTCATCGAACAACTGCATTCATCTTTACAAAAGTGCATAACTCAGTTTTCCTACTCTGAAATAAATGAATAGAAAAAATGAACTTTGCTTGAACTTTTTTTGACATTCCCAACAAGCTCGCATCTGACAACCTGTAGTTTTCGGATATCAGAACGAAGCTAAAACATCCTTTGCATTATGCACTTCCACCCAATTTCAGCTTCCTCTGCACCAGCCTGAATTTTCGTTAGTGAACTTTAACTCTCCCTGGTTAGCTCGGGGCTATAAACTTTCTGTTATTGGGCCATGTCAACCAAGCTTGAACTCTTTTTAGTTTCATGTGACGTCGTACTCGCATCCGGCTGGAGCTTATCACGGGCCGTGACATGAACCATCGCTAATCTCTCTGTATGGGATGTTAGTCTATCGCAGGTTACTCTAAGCATTTGGCAAGGTTGCTCTAACAGTTTGTCCGGGGACCATTAATATATCTGAGGGGAGAATGGCAAAATCCCTGGTTCCACCCGGAATGCCCATTACGTGCGCAAATGCTTAAATCGTTTGGCCATCGAGTCTCCCGTTTTGAGATGAAGTGACATGAGTTTTTTTAAAAATCACCCATTGAACAACTCATCAGAGTCGTTTCTCTAACTTAACAAGAATGAAAGAGCAGTGGATTTTAGTAAATGCGAACGCAACTGTCTCTAAACAAAAAGGCAACAGGCAACAGTTTCGCAGATTTGTTGTCGCCAATTTGCTCCACGCCTATTTGGAGATCTACACTGAAGAAATTTTAAGTAGAATCTTGTTCGCATATCAAATGTATTTCACTCGAGATTTCAATCTGACTCACCACTTTTCCAATTATTATGGCAAAGGAGTATCTCTCGTTTTCGCCTGCCTCTACAAAGGTTTACTTTGTCGCCTAGCTAATGAAGTCACACGTATTTGCTCAATATGTCTATTTTAACAGATAATCCTCAATTTGTCTCCAGTTTCCCACATAATGGGATTAAACGGGGCGCCAAAAAATACAAACAAATTGTTGAAATGAGCTCAGTATAATTAGAGAAAAGGAGTTCAATCTAATTTGCAAGGAAATAAGGAAATAACCATTATGCCCTTCATTAATTTGTTTTGACAACTTTACAAGGATGAGAGGACAACTTAATGGAAACAAGCTAGGTCCTCTAAAAGAATGGAGATTTTAAACCGAGATTTTGATATGAAACCAAGTTCACAAATAAACTGAATTGAACTTAAGTGCAAGGCAAATGGAACCCTTTTCCGGTTTTGCTTCAGATAAAACATTCCGCTTTGTAATAATTTAATTTGAATGCTGCAAAGTTCACGTCCAGGAACGCGGATTTTGTTCACCGACTCCAAATATTCTAATGCAAGAAATGACTTTTTTTTCACAAATCATGCTAATTTCCCCTTACATACATACATTCTGTTTATTTGCCTTTTTACTAAAACAGCAATTATTTATAAATATTTCAATGTATGACGTGGTGACCTCTAGAAACCACCAGGCTTTTAGTTGAGGCCACCTCGTACGTAACAATACGGTTACATAGATAGTGCTACAGTGTGCGGCCTCAGTGATAACGAGTTCTCAAGAAAAAACGTCGGGGTCGATATAGTTGCTATTAATAAAACTGCCCCCCC